ACATTTCCAATAAATTTTCACTTGATGAATGAGCCATGTCTTGCAATCCTAAAAATATGGGATGGCAGACATCATATGATCACAACTGAACCAGTGGTTTTTCTCTGTCTTTTTCTTTGCTCTACAGGATTATGGGTTTTTGTCTCCATAAAGCAAGAGGTTAGGGAGGGGATCTCATCTGCAGGAGGAGGAGGAGAAGGCCTCTCACACAAGCCATGATTTTCAAAGGGAACTGCAGGTTAATTCATTTGTTTTCCTTTATATTTTGTGTTTTCTTCATTATTTTGCATTTTATTGTGGTATTGTAATCATTTTTACATAAATATTTTGAGGCTGTAGAATAAATCATCTGAGTTTCCCTTATTTCTTATGAGGAAATTCACTTTGATATACAAGTGTTTTGGATTACAGGCGTGTTTCTGGAACAATTATGCTCTGGTTTTACCATATTTTAAAATGAAGCCGGGCACCGTGACATCACCTCCTGTCATCCCGGATGAAGCAGGAAGCAGGAGGGTGGCAAGTCTGAGGCCAGCCTGTCTCAAAGAGTTGGGGATGGAGCTCAGGTGAAGGTTTCTCTGGCACGTCTAGGGTCCTGGGTTCAATCCCAGGACCACAAACTAGCAAAATCAAGGGAAGCTAAAAGCAGAAGCAGTGGAAAGATGTGTGCAAATCGACCCACCCGGGTTGACAGCTTGGCCTCCTCGTTCCCAGTCAGTCTCTCTGCTAAAGTCACCTGAGCTCGATTCTCGGAAACTGCAGTTGGGACTGGCATGGAGGGAGAGCTGAGAGGCTGTGGCGGGTGTCTGGTGCGTGCCCCAGCCCGTCCTTCAGGATGAGCCACTCACCGCCCCCCAGCCTTGGTCATAGCAGTGTATCTATCCCCCACCTCCCTCAACCCAAGCTCGCTCCCTGTACTCCTCCCAAGATCACCCCAGTGAATGCACCAAAACTCTCAAGAGTCTGCTGTCCAGATCTCTGACCTAAGACAGAAGGAGAAAGGGGTTAAACAGGAGGCTTTTTGTTTGCTTATTTTTAAATATGGCCTCATTTAATTTCACAAATCTCTGCAGTAAGCACATTTGCTATTTTATTGGGAAAAGCATCCAGAACATGTCAAGATCAAGTAGATCTGGCAAAACTGGGACTCTAATGCAAGTTCACTTTGATCCTGAGAGTTGATATGCTGGCCAGTGTCCACTCTGGACTGACCTGACCTGTGGGGTCTACACTGGGAAGCGCTGACTGGGCCAAGAGTCACTGGTTGTGTTCTGTAGAGACGATGCACCTACAAGAAGAGGGCTTGCAGCTGCTGTGTAAGTGGGGATGAGTAAGGAGAATGGTGGTCATGTGCGATGATCTTTGATGACCAAGGAGGTGGCAGTCAGCTTGGGTAGAGAAAGACCTCAGGATGACCACAGCTCTCAAAGCCAGAGCCATAAACAGCACCGGTCCTTGCCAGGAACAGCACAGTGGCAAACCCAAACCGTCTCCCTGACAGGCCCCGTGTGGTGGGGACTGCTGGTTCTGGGTCTCCCCTGGACACAAACAAGGGAGTCACCCTACCGAAACTGGCTGGCAAGACCCAGGCTCAATCTTGTCCCGTGTAGGATAAAGGGTCCTGGACTTCTCTGATGCTGCATCTGGTCCCCATGCAGATGAAGAGTGGCCTTGCTTGGGCTCTGAGGCTGATCTGGTAATAGTAAGAACAAGTTTAAGGTCAGCAGACTGCGGCCACCACCAAGCCTGGCTGGAGCTTCTCCTTCACGGCTCAGCCCAGAGCTGAAGTCGTGAGGGGAAGAAGGCGCTTCCTGAAGCTTCGTCTGTGGACTCAATCCAGTTCTCTCCTCGATTGGGGAGCCTCATGCTAGAGTCCCTGAAATGGCACCTGGGGTAGAGGGCACGTTTAGAAAGAAGCCTCGTAGTCACCCCCATGGTTCTGGTGGACTTGGCACTGATTGGAAATTCTTAGTAAGCTTTGACATCAATGTGAGAAGTATCTACATGGGATTTGTCCTGTCACCTGGAGTTTCTGAAAACATAGTTAAGCCCACGTAAGAAGAATTCTTTCACTTCCTCATTATTAAGCTGTCCCTTCCTCCTGAGACACAAGCTGGAGACAGGCAGCTCTGCTTGAGGAGACGAGACTCTCTGGGGAGGAGGCAGGTTTCTAGAAGAAACACCTGCTCAGTGTACTCCAGCCAATCAGAGATCCCTTGTCAGGGCTGCTCGTTGGGAGAATACTTGCCTAGCATGCTTGAGGCCCAGGTTTAACCCCAGTGCCATAAAAGGAAAAAAAGGAATCTCATCTCCCTTAAAATGCTGAGCTAGCGTGCTCACAAACGCCCCTGGCAGCCCTGCGACCAGCATGACCCCATGACAGGTGCGCTGGATGGGTCTATCTGCCAGGATGATGGTTGTGCCGGAGGGAGACCAGTACGTCTTGTTCCTAAGCTGGGCCTCTGCTTCCTGCATGGTGGAGAATGTTCTTTCAGCCGCGGGACGACGTACGTTTGTGACACTTTTTCCCATCTCTTCTTCCTTTTAATCTGTATGAGAAAAATCCCACCGTCTGTCCTGCGTGTTTTCTCCCAGCCGCTTTGTTAGTTGAGGTGTTTGCATGCTGAGCAGCACACACTAATATTTTCCTCCTTGGCAAAACATTAATTATCCCACCCAGTAACCTTTCTCTTGGTATTTTGTTCTTACCACCCTCTAAGCTGTGGGGCACCAAGCGACTTGGGCTTTTTCCCACCATCTCAGCAAGCTGGCTGCCAGGGCTCAGGTGGGAGCTGCCCTGTTTGACTGAACTCGGGTCCTCCTCAGGGCCCCCCACCCTCGGCAGCACCCCGTATTCCTACAGCACCCGCTGTAGCTGCTGCCCTGGCACTTCTCACACTGTCACCGAACCATGTTTTCTTCTTTTGTCACCTCCCAAGAGACTGAATGTACTCACGGCTACATTCTCAATGTGCAGGATCCTGTCTGCCACTCAGCAGTGGCTCCTGCCGAGCTTGTGGTGCAGGCGGATGAACGAACAAAAATGGAAGGATGGATAATGGTTGCATAATGTGATTCCCAGCAGCCTCCTATTGACACCACAGTCTCCATTCCTTTCCATTCACATAGTGCAGTTTGGACCCTTGCTGTCCCTGCTCTTAGGGAGTCCCGTCCTCTGTCCCCGCCTGCAGTTATCCTCAGCTGCTACCCAGCCAGCACACTCATCACTGGGAGCCCACCTGCCTCTTCCCTGGTCTCCCCCCAGCTGTGGGAGGGGACATAGGAGGATTCAGGCTCTAGGGGACAAATGCTGTGCTTGAAAGCACCTTGGTAATCAGTAAGCACGGACTCCCCTCTCCTCCCAGTTCAAAGGCAGTGAAGGCCCAGTGGGCCTGAAACGTCTGGTTTATGGTCACCTGGACGGACGGTGAGTGGTGAGTTTGGGACACAGGCCCTGGAGAGTTGATGACAGGCAAGAGTGTCCTACTTCATCCTGAGAGCAGAGCCTTTCTAGTCCTCTCTGGTGCCACACTGTGTGCCATCAGAAGGAGAGAAGGGCCTTACTGTCCCCCAAGTTTGCAGCACATGATCCTTCCATCGCATCTTTTTCAGTCTCTATAGTAGCCCTCTGAAGTAGGCAGAGTGGCCTCGATTTCTTCATTTTGCCGATGAGGAGACCGCGGTGCAGAAGGTGGAACTGAGCTGCCTGTGGGACAGAACTGCCCAGTGGCCATGGTTGGGCAGCAGATCCCAAGTCCAGGGCCTGTGCCCACACCCATCATGCTCTATCTCCATCCAGGTGCCTTGCTCCGAATGCGTCTCTGTGGGTCAGGAGCAGAGCCCAGACACAGCTTTGCAGACAGGGCAGCCTCACCTCAGAAGACCCAACCTTCAGGCTCCTCGCAGACTTGTGATATGGCTTCAGCTGAGATGGACCCTAATCATATCATTAGGTTACAGCATTCAGGACAGCCCTGCTGAAACTCAGACAAAACCTCCCAGCTCCTGACTGTACCCTGGGCCCTCCTGGATGCCTTTCACTCAGATAAAAGCCCTCCCAGCTGGAGAAAGTTTACAGTGAAACCTCCCTATAGCGTTGGCTCTGCCTGGCTTTGGGAACTGGGCAGGTAGCTCACAAAAACCTTCTTACCCAGCCCCTGCCTGTTCCCTGCCACTTGCTAATGCCACCCGGTGCTTTGGCACTGGCGCCAAGCGAGCTACTCTCTAGTAAAGGTGACATGTGGGGATTGCCTTGGTTCACACTCAAAGAGCAAAAGAGGCTCCCAGGAAGGGATGGTGGATAACTGCTTCCTTTTCTGAAGATTAGACCTCACTCTTCACGTGTAACTTAGAAAAAGGCAGTGAGATGGCTTCTTCATACATACGTGTCTTCTCCAAGACAAGATTTTGCATCATACCTGTTTCCACCTGGGATTGGTTCCTGCTGGCTGGTCTCAGGATGAAGTTACACGGAGAGGAAATATCTGAATTCCTCCTGCTTGTCTAAGTTTTTATCTGTCCCTGCCCCTGTAATGTAAACTCTAATAGGTCCACGTAGGAATCTTCAATGCTATAAGTCGAATTATTATATTGGTTTACCCATTAGCTGGCTCTATCTGAGATCCAAGCGTCTCATGGTCAAGCAGAGTTTGCCTGCTCACTGGCCAGGCCCAGGGCCCACTGGTCTGTACCCATCACTGCTCAGCTTGTACACCGGTGGCTGTCCATTGCTGGACGTCAAGGCCGCCTTCCTCAGCCCCTGCTTCAAGGCCACTGCCGCCTTACTCCTGCAGGGTGCACGTCCACGCCATGCCATGTCCTTATGCCTGGGCATGGGAGGATTTCTCCTTCGCTTCCTTGCCTCTCACCTTTTTTTCTTCGTTTCTGCCTCTCTCCTTTCTTCCTTTTTGTCTTTTCCTCTCCCTTCCTCCTCCACTAAGGGAGCCAGGGCTCTGTTGTAAGAGCTGGAGACACAGTCACCAAGAACAATGGACAAGACCTTTGAGGGCTTTGCTGTCATTTAATTTACATTCTAGAGATGGAGACAGATAAAAACAGATATTCACGCAAACAAAATAAAGTGAGATTACTGGAATACAGCAAAACGGGGTGATGGGCTTTTGTGTTCTGGAGGCCAGCAGTGCGGTCCACTTCTTCACTGTCCCCCATGACCTGCACGGACAAATGCTGCCCACTGCTCAGGCCTGCCACAAGTCACCTCCCCTAGGGGCCCTCCCATCTCATTTCCGGGCCTGAGTGTTCTCACTGTGGCTCGGCCCCACAGTATGTCGCCCCCTTTCCTTGAAGGGCATGGAGTGGCTCCTGGAGCAGGTTAGCCCCATCCCTGCTGCTGAGCTGGGGGCTCTGAAGGTGTAGCAAGCATTTCTTCCGGCCCAAGCCGCCTTCTGGCCTGGCACATGCCTGGCTGGCACAGACCAGCTGCTCAGTGAGTACACCAGGGGCAGAGCGCCACCAGGGCTGAGCCCCAGGGTCATTTGCTGAAGACAGAGCTGCTTCTATCCCTGGTGAGGGTGGAGGCGAGGGTGTTGCAGTTCAACTGGAGAATCCATCTTCCGGCTCCAGGTGAGGCGGTGATGGCAGCCAAAGTCACTTAGGTGATCTAGGCTAGGAATGTGTCCAGTTCTTCTGGACTTCTAATCAGTTTGCTTTGACATGGGGCTGAGAACAACACCATGCCTATTCTGTGGCTTAGAAAGGCCTGGAAGGGTGTAGGCAGGGTGGGGGCGTCCTGGGATCTGTACTTTGATGGGGTGTGGGGACCGCCGTGTGGGATCCTGGTACTTGTGGGAAGGCTGGTGATTTTCATGAGGGTGTGTGGGGTGTCTGTGATTGCGGCTGTGAGCTGTGGGCACAGGATGTGAGGGAGCAAGTGTGTGTCTACGTGATGGTGAGGCGGCGGTGGGGCTGGCGGTCTGCGTAGTGTGTGCCCTGTGTGTGTGGGGGGGGGGCAGGGTCACGGTGATGTCCGTGTGTCCTGAGGTATGCAGGGGCCCAGGGCAGAGTGGAGCAGGGGTAGCCTGGGCCCCAGGGGCCTGGTGTCCCTGGCAGCTGGGCCTGCCCTCTCACAGCTGCAGGCTGGGCCTCCTGAGGCCTCCACAGCTGGAAGCCATCAAAGCCCTTCCCCCTCTGCTGGCCTTTGAGGGGCTCTCGGGTTTGCAGTCCCAGCCCCACTCTCTTTCTTCCTGCCCAGAGCAGACACCAGAATATTTCTGCATTTCCTCTGGAAAAATCCTGGGAGGTCTGTTTATGGCTGCAGCAAAGCCTCACACATCTGTGCCCAGTTTAGTGGGGACAGCTGGAAACCCAGGACCTGGATTTCGCTGGAGCTGGGAGCTGCCTGACCATCGCTTCTGCCTTCTCAGAGGTGCCCAGCCATCTATGCAGGATCGTCACGGCAGAGCTGGCTCCTGTCTCTACAGGTGGCCATCCTTGTGTGCACACACTCACACATGCAGACACACCCCTGATTGCAGCAGGCCATGTGGAGGCACAGTCAGAACCACGTGGCACAGAGAAGGGACGGTGTGACTATACCGGCTCACACAAGCATGGCTCCTCCGGTTCTGGGGGCCCCTTGTGGCGCATGGGGACAGCACTCTTGGATTTGTCACCCACAAGTAACACCCACAGCCTCAGACTTGCAAGACAGCACACACTGACTCAGCACGCCCACACAGAAACATGCGACACACAAAAAGGCGTGATTCACTGCCAGCCACCTACAGAATCACATCTCAAGCCAGTCAGGGCCCCATCACCCAACCTCAGGCAAGGCCTGCCCTCCCCTGGGAGACCTGGGTACTCCCCAGCCTGGGAAGGTCCCCGATCTTCCCATCATGCCCTTCCCAGGCAGAGGTGCTCCATGTGCCCTCTGTAGGTTTCCCCAGTCTCACTGGATTCTTCTTCTGTTTCTGCACCCCACATCTTTCTGAGAGTTTCACAGTTTCTGTGACACTCAGTTCTTCAGCTTTCCCCTCTCCCACCAGGAACTCATGAGCCTCCCATGTCGGTCCCCACTGGTGACCCCTCCTGCGCCACTCTCCTTCAGGCCTCTTCTTCCTCCCTCAGCCCCAGGCCCCCCAGATTCCTGTGAAGAAGCTTCCAGTTCAGGATCTGGATTCACTCCTCAGGGGAGCAGAGGGGGCTGGGGTGGGGGATGTGGAGAGAGAAGGGAAGCAAAAGGGGCCCGGGGGCCCACTTTTAGGGTTGCTGTAGGATGCCCAGGGGTGGGGGGCTGAGGCTGAGGAGCGGAGGTGTTAGAGGGGGAAACGACAGGGCTTGCTTTGCCAGGCCCTTCCAGGCTCACATGGGGCGTCCTTTCTCCCTGGCTTCTCCAGAAATGGATCCCAAACCCCCACTTCTCAGTCCAGGCCAGGATTCTCCCAGGCTCCAGGGCAGCTGGGTGCTGCTCTTCAAAACACTCCATCCTCACACAGGCTGCCCCAGAGTGGCCTCCAAGCCTAAGGAATTTTCTATCTCCCTGGCCTTCCCAGTCCTCTTGGGGCTGTCCCTCTGGCCTAGCACCAGACTGGCTGCCCAGACTGTCTTCCCAGGGCGCTTCCCACCCCTTCTTTCCAACCTGTACCCACCTCGCTCTCCTTAGCTTTCGGTCTCTCCTCAGTGGACAATTGTGGAATTTTCTAACTCATATAGGAACACTTTAAAACTCCACTGGAGTCTTCAAAACATTCTCACCTCTTATTTGATGCACGGCAGCTTTGCAGCAGGGTTCCTTATGATTTTGTGTCTCAGTTTCCTAAATGCAAAATGGAGACACGCAGTGGGACCGCAGCCCTGGGTCTGCTATTTAGCAGGGGGCCACTAATAGACGTTAATTCCCTTCCCTTCTCCAATTTTCCCTGTATACTGGTTTATATGTTTGTTTGTTTGGTTTTGTTTTTGAGCTATATGGTTCAGGCTGGCCTTGAACTCACTGGAGAGCCCAGGTTGGCTTTGAACTCATGGTAATCCTTCTGCCTCAGCCTCCCAAATGCTGGGATTACAGGCATGCACCACCACACCCAGATCTTTCTTGTTCTTCTAAACACGGTTTAAACCAGTAAACCAGGGAAAGGTAAGCAGACCAGAGTGCCCGGGACAAAGGGATGATGGCCTCATTTTAAGAGCAAAGTACAGGAGTTTTTTATTAACTCAGAAACACCACTGGCTTCCAGCCACCCAGCTGCTGCAGGGTGGGGCAGGGAAGAGAAGCCGATGAGGACACATATATGGAAAGTACTAGGAAACAGAGAATCAGGACACCAGGGTGGGAAAAGCCCAGGCTGAGGCCTTCGCCACCACCTCGATGCACCAGGCAGCTCCACAGCCTCAAGGCAGCGCTGCCCTTCGGCCTGGGTATCTGTGCTGCAGCCCGCAGCAAGGCTGCTCTGCACCAGGAACTGCGGGCCCTGTCTGTGCCTCTCTTTGGCCTTGGTCCCTTCCCCCAGCCCCGAGGGTTGTTTTCTTCTGGAGCAAGGTCATCTGGGCTGGTGAGGGGAGGAGCTGCACGTGGTGTGGGTCACTGCTCCCGTGGCCCAAGGATTCGGCCAGAGAGCGTGCACAAGGCGGGTTGTGGGGACTGGAACAGGCCTAGGGGATGGTTCCCTGCAGAGGGTCTCTCTGGGATCACAGGGCCCTTGCTTTGGCTCTGAGCCACAGAGAGTTCCCAGGTCATTTCAGAAAGAAAGCCGCATCTTTGTTCCGAGACCCACCCTTCTGCGTTATGGCTGTCCCACAATCTTCCTGATCTCCACCCTGCATCTTTTTTTTCCCCTTCTGTTTTGAGATAGGGACTCATTATGTAGTTCAGGCTGGTTTTAAACTCTGGACCCTCTTGTCTCAGCCTCTTGAATATTGGGATTACAAACTACAACAACAGGGCTGGGGATTTAGCTCAGCGGCATAAGCGCCTGCGTTGCAAGCAGGCAGTCGTGAGTTTGATCCCTGGTATTGATTAAAAAGGAAAAAGACAAAACAAAACAAAACTACAACAACATGCCTGGGCTTCTGTCCTGTATCTCTTATATACATCTGATGGAATCTTTTAGGCTCCAAAGGGTTATTCATGAGATAAGCAAGCAGTTTGTTTTTTCTGTCTGGACGAGCCAGACTTTGGGAAGATTCTAGGCTGCTGGGCTCTTCATCCAGCTCTCGGCCCTCAGCCCTCCTCCCCGCCCAGCCACATGGGAAAGTGCCCCGTTAGCCCTCCCAGTCATGTGAATGAGGCCACGAATCAAAGCAGTGGGCAGGAAGGGGGCCACACGGAGCAGCCCGAAAGAACCAGGCCTTTGTGCTGGACGGGGTCCTTGGGGGATGAGTGCATTTTTGGCATACGTATTTAGAAAGATTTCTTTTTTATAATGAGCCGCAGAGGAGGAAAGGGGAGGGAGGGAGCCACAGAAAGACCGAAGGCAGGACGAGGGGAAAGAGGCAGGGGAAAAGGGTGAGGGCTTGCAAGAGCTGTTAGGAAAGCAAAGGGAGAAATGGAAAAAGCCAAAGGGGGAGAAACAGGGCAAGACAGTGTCAGGCAGCGGGAATTCTTAGGACAGATGGAGACATGACATCAGCGCGCAGAGATACTCGGAAGAGACACGAAGCCCATGGAGGAGAGGAGTGGATGAAATGAGGGGTAAAGAAAGGATTTACAGCTGGGTGTGGTGGTGCATGCCTGTTAGCTGGCACTCAGGAGGCTGAGGCAGGAGGACGGTCATGAGTTTGAGGCCAGCCTGGACCACGTAGTGAGGTCAAAGCCAGCCAGAGCTACATAGCAAGATTCTTTCTCAGAAAAGAAAACAAAGAATTTACTTCATTTCACCCTGCAGGGAGAGGAAGCCTCAGTAGGGATGGAAAGTGATAGCAGCCATCGCTGAGCAGTTCTTTGGGGGCTGGGATGCAGGACAAGGGTTGCCTCCCTCAATCCTTGCAACCACCAAAGCGGGCCACGTATATACACCTAGCGTCTCCCTGGTGTGAGAAACCGAAGGAGTAAACAGGTCCAAAATATACAAGGGATAATATATAATGGGTGAAATGGGCAGAAATTTATCCAAAGGAAAGAGGAATTAGGGTGGGGAAAGGGAGAGAGGGGAAAATACAAGATAGTTATACTACTACTTTCTATTAGTCCGTTGAAAAGAAAATTTGTGCTAATACCTTTGGTATGCCCATATCTCATACTCTGAGTAATTACTTTGAAGATAATTATATGCAATGTATTAACTATTATTATTCTCCTACTTTGTCTTGAAATTTTAAAAAATTTCTTACATTAAAAAAGCAGACCAGGTACAAGCCGTACTGGGCCTGGGAGGAATAATAAGAAGCCAGTTCACACTTCCCAAGAGCTGGCGGAATCCATGCATGGCCCAGGAGGAGAACCAAGCCCTGTCAGTCTTCCTGGATCTGAGGGGAGTAACAAGAAGCCAGTTTACCCTTCCCGTGAGCCAACCAGCATGTGGGCTAGGAGACAAGAACACTGTCCCCTCACCCCCAGCAACTGCCTGATTCGGAGCACAGGCTGAGTTCCTAGCAACTGACGTATCAAACGACTTAATGCTGGTATTGTTTGATTGACTTTGCAGGCTTGAAACCAGTATTCTGAGCATCTATTAAGAGGATAACATTACAACAAATATGGGATTTTTCCTTCTGTCTTCTTTTTGAAATCCAACATTGTTCTCACTGTTTTGTTTTGTTCCATTTTATTGTTTTGTTTTATTCAATGTTCTGTTTGGATTGGCTTGATTCTGTTCTGTTTTGTTTGATTTTATTATGTCTGATGGTACGGGCAGCAATTTTGAAGATAATAAGAGACATTATGGTAGCCACTGTTGATTTCCTATTATCCTGTTTGAAATCCTATATCATTTTCACTGTTTTGTTTTAAATGACTGTTCTGTTTTATTTGGTTTGGTTTTATTTTCTTTAAAATATGCTTTCATTCTTTTGTTTTGATTTTATTATGTCTGATGATATGGGCAGCTATTTTGAAGAAAACAAGAGACATTATGATAGCCATTGTTGATTCCCTATTATCTTGTTTTGAAGTCCTGTATCATCTTCATTGGTCTGTTCTGATTAGCTTTATTGTTTTGTTTTGTTTTATTCCCTTTTTAAAGAAAAGCAGGCCGGGGCTATCATTATGCACACTTCACAGATGGGGAACCAGAGACCTCAAAACAGCGTGTAACTTGCTAAAATCTGACACGATGCCAGCCTGGCCAGGAGCAGTAGGGGCTGGAGCTGAACCCTCAGCCCTCTCTCTTGGCTTTTCACGTTGCTGGGAGTGTGTGGGGTGAGTGTGACATGACTCAGAGAGACAGGAGGGAATCACAAAGACACCAAAAGGGAGCATGCTAGTATTATGACAGTGACATTTTCCAAGCCGAGGTCCTTCCTCAGAGTCTGTGTGGGAGGCAGGATGCTTCGTCTTTCTTCTGTCTGCAAACCTTCCTGCAACCAGCAGGCTCCCTGTGAGGAGGCTGCACATTCTCAACAGACAGAGCATTGAGTGGTGATCGGGGACACCTCTTCTTGCTCTGGACAGAACAGACATACGTTGGCTCTCTGCAGCCCCCATGCCTCACCCTCTTGCAGCCTGTTTTCCCCTGGGCACGCCGTGTTGCATGGTTTACACATTTGTTTCCCTGGGGCTGCCTCCACTGGCCTGGGAGAGCCAGAGACCTGCCCCTATGCTGGGCTCAGGTGCCTTCATGCATGAACACTGCACAGAGATTGCAAAGAACTGGCAATCAGACACAGTCCCTGCTCCCATGAGGGCCCACTTAGCTGGGGAGGTGTGGGAACAAATCAGCAATCACAGTGCATGGTGACAGGGGTGACTTCCGGAGCTGCAGACCATGGAGGGTCTATGGAGAGCTGGGGAGGGGCATGAGGGGAGTGGCTCACTCAGGAGGGTTTCCTGGAGGAGGGCATGGACTGAGTCTCCAATAGAAATCCTCTCTCCGTTAAATTCTCATGGCTTCTGATTGGCTGTTCCCCTCTTCTTCACTCTGAGAGTGTTGTTATATTCCTTCTGGGGAAGTAGTCATTGTTAATCCACTCACTGATTCACCTGGAAAATGCCTACGGCTTGTGTGACACGCACCAGACACTGTGCTAGAGCCTGGGAATTCAACAACAATGCAGACCTAGTCACTATCTTCACGAAGCTCCAAGGAACTGAGAAAGCTGACAGGCAGGCCAGCAGCGACCCCACGGAGGCATGTGGAATCTGTCCCATGGGTCTCTGATGGGACGGGCCACCTCGCACACAGCCACCCCTTCCCTTTACCTCCCCCACCTCAAACTGAGGGAGAAGCCAGCACTGCCATTAGTCCCTTTCCCTTTTTTTTTGTTTTCTTTTCCCTTCTCTTTTATATTGAGCCCAGGTGCACCCTACCACTGAGCTACATCCCGGCTCTTTTTATTTAGAGACAAAGTCTCACTACATTGCTCAGGCTGACCTCAAATTTGTGATCCTTCTGCCTCAACAGCCTAAGTAGCTGGTCGCACAGATGTGTGTCACTGTACCTGGTAAGATCCTTCTCTTGTCTCTTACCTGATCCCAGGTAAGGGCTGAAGGTAGGCATCCTGCCTGGAGGGGGACTGTGCGTGGGCTGGGCGGCAGGCAAAAGGAAAAAAAATAGAAGTCATCCTAAAAGGAAAAGAAGAGCGATATAATTTAATATACAGGAAACTTAAAGAATCCACAAAAAATTTTGAGAGCTAATAACTACAATAAAGTTGCAGGATGCCAAATCAACACTCAAAAATCAGTAGCATTTCTATATGCTAATAATGAGTTAGGTAGAAAAGAAATATAGAGCTATTAAAGAACAATTCCATTTGTAATAGCTATAAAAATACTTTGGAATGCATTGAGCCAAGGAGATAAAGTAACTGTATAGAAATATGGATGAAATGAAGAAGCCTCAAATAAAAGGACAGGTATCTTATAACCATGGATGGGAAGAATTAGTAGTTACAGTTCTTATGCTACTGAAAGCACCTACAGATTTGCTGCAGTGCTGGTTGAATCTCCAATGTCATTTTCCCTCTAGAGAGAGTTAAAACAGTGCTTTTCTTGCTGCTGCAGGAGGGATCCCCAGCTCTCCCGTGCTTCTCCCGGTAGGTGGTGCACAGGGAGCGGGTGGGAAGGGAAGGCCTTGGGGTATCCAGGTCCCTGGCTTAGCCTGATGGGATGCAATCTTCTTCCTTTAGTCTGAATCTCTCTCTCGTCACCCGCTTCCTCTCGTCTCCTCTCCAGCCTTCCTGTAGTCACGGGAATTCCGTCTTCTCATCTTCCACTTGCCCCAAAGCTATTACTTTTCTTCTTCCTTTTCCCCTCCTCCCCTTCCCCCTTTCCTGTTTTCTTCCCAGACCCTTTATTTTTCTTCCTCCTTTTCCTTCTCCTCCTCCTTTTCTCCTGAGAACTAATTGCTTGAGAGGTGAAGACCAGGTCGACTTGTGAAAACCCCATCCATCGCCATGGTGATGCTAATTCAAACTGAGTTCAAAGGAAATTGCTCCTGTTAAAACTAACAAGCTGGAGTCAGGGCCCCAGCGAGGACTAGTGCCAGGAGGAGCTGAGCCTTGTGCCCAGAAAAATAGGAAAACCTACTGGCGAGCCGCTCACATTCCGATTCCGGCTCTGCTCTCCCTGCATCCTTCAGATCTGCCCAAGCCCACAGTAGACCTGAGAAGTCACTGCCGCAATCCTCCTGCCTCCAGACCAGGCTCCTCCCAAGCCACCTCAAACGGATGAGCAGTCAGCATCCACTCCCTCATGCTGCGGTTCTGGGGTTTAATCACCCTTGCTCTGGAGAGTTCTTTACGGTTCACGCCAGTGCGTCTCCTTGCTTTCTAGTAAGCACAAATTTGGAAGGACCGGGAGCAGAGGATTAAGTGCTAGATCTGAGCCTGGTGCTATCTTAAGACTTCACGTGTGTGTAGCCAACCCACTGGTCCCCACTGTGGGGGGTCTCATTGGTTGTTCCCATCATGTGGGTGTTCTGGAATGGGAAAACTTAGAGAAAGGACTGTATACAGCTTACTGCAAGCCCAGCTAGGTCTGGCTTTTTAAAAGAAAGACATGTTGGGCCTCCTACTGGTGACCAAGGTCTCAAAACTGAGAAGGAGAGGGTCTGGATCACAAAGCAGCAGTGAGTTGCCTTCTGCGCTTGGAAGCAGCCTGTCCCTCCTCTCCTGGCCTGTAGTGGTGTCCATCTTAACATATGTCACTTTCAGGCTGGCCAGATGCATGTGGTTCTTCTCTACTCAGCAGACAGAGACCATGACCTCCTGTCCCCGGCACAGGACCCGTCCTGGAGGGAGCCCTGACATACTATTAACTTCAAGGCTAAAAGTTGACCAGGAACCCTAGTTCCTTGGGAAGCAGAAGACTTGAGATGCCTCATCAAGAGACCCTACCAAACCTGGTTTGGGGAGCTCAGTCTCATGATGCCAGTGAGAAAATGTCCTGGGGCCCATTATAGTTCTGTCCTTGGCAGGGGCCATTCCCTGAATCCTTTTCCTAGCAGCTCCTACCTCTGACCTTCATCAGACTTTATCTGTTGCTCAACCCTCAGGTTTTTGTTTTTGTTTTAATCTGAAAGACCTAGTGATCTCCCTAGGTACTAAAGAGATACTAGTCCAGCAGTAGAGGAAAATTCTTGAAGGTCAAGACCATGTCTGTGCTTCTTCAGTTTCCTGGTAACCAAACACTATGATAATCATGGTCTGAGTGCCATTTAAAATGAGAGAGCCACTGAGGTCTGGCTGTCCCTCGGGGAAGGAGCTAGAGATCTGCTATCCTAGGATGTGTTCTGTAACCTCAAAAAATCTCTGCATGTCTTTGTTCTTGGGCTTCTTAAAGTGTAACAAAGGTTGGTCATGGCTGAGTCGTCTCAAGCTCTCAGATGCGTCAAGGGAGTGTCCTGTAGCCAGGGATGCAAGACAGCATCTCTGCTTGAGGCAAGGCCAGCCGCACTTTATGCCTCTCCTGGGTTAAGGACCTCGGTGACCAACTGAGATTTGAACCTGTGTCCTCAGACTCTTTGGGATCCCTCCAAATGTACACATACACACAATAGCCCCAGAAAGAGAGAGAGAGAGAGAGAGAGAGAGAGAGAGAGAGAGAGAGAGAGTTAGAGGTGCCTGGATTTGAGGTGAAATCCAGCCAGAAGTGAGGAAATGACTCAGCTGGGCCTGGGGAGGGCCTGGGGCCAGGCTCCCACCCCCAGGCCAGCCTTTGTACTGAGACCGGTTCCTTTCATCCCAGCATCACAAAGCCCCTTTCAAGTTGGAAGCAATCCAGCAATTTGGGTCATTATCTCAATTAACAGGAGAAAGCCGGGGCCCAAGCTGGTGGGGGTACTTTCTTCTGAATTAGGCCTGGAGGCCTGGCCAAGATTTCCCAGCCCCAGGCTTCTGTCCCAAGCCCTGGGCTGGTTGTGGGTCCTGCAGTGCAGGAAGCAGGAGCCAGGCACTCCATGCAAGGATCAAGGTTCTGCGGGGTGGGGTGGGGTGGGGGAGGGTAGGGGGGGTGGGGGGGACGGGACAGAGGTGTGTTTGCAGGGCTGGAATTCCCTAGAGAACGCTGCAGGGGGTTCCTCCCCAACCTCTTGGTTGTTGGTCATGGGGAAGTTGAGTAGCTTGTGCTTTTCCAAGTGGGAGGCAGGTAAGCAAATGGTTTCCAGACTCAGGCCCCACCAAGCTTGGAGAGATCTTTCATTATGAGGGGAAAACATTACTAAAGCTCAGGCTCTGGGCACTCTAAGCTGTGTTAGCCAGCTGAACCAACAGTTTCTCCAGGCTTCTCTCCTAGAACAGTCATGCGTAGTCTCTTGTCCCAACGTGGGCCCAGTCTAAGACAAACTGCACTGTTCTTAGCAAATCAGGTGGCCACCTGGCTGTGCAGTCGTGGATAACTGTTTTAACCTCTCTGAATTTCAATTGCATCAAAGGTCCTCCTTTGCTTGGTGTCCAGAATGCAGAAGGGGCTGTCTTACTGATTCACACAGGTAACAAGACTCCTGCTTTACTTCCCTGAGCATAGACAGGTGGGTGACATGGATGACCTCGGACCACACTGTCAGGGATGGAACCTAGGCTGTCAGGAGAAACCTTTAAAGGGTGTTCCCTGCCTTTCTGGGCTTGGATGAAGCTGCTTCCCCCTCTGCTGAGTCAGGACAGAGTGTGAGGGTGGGGTGCCGTGGGGAAGTCAGGGGCTGAAGAAAATCCAGGGTGTTGCACAAGAGGCAGCGGGGGTGGGGGAAGGTCCATTTTAAAGAGGCAGTGGAGGAGCACGGGGCTGGTCCTGCACCGAGCGCTGTCTGCCGCTGTGATGTTCTGTGCTGCAGGGATCAAAGCCTCCCTGGGCACCGTTCCCTAAGACAGGGTAACTGCGGGGCCCACAAACACCTTGAGTTTCTCACAGAGGCCTACTTGAAGTCACTGCCTCGGTTTCCCTCATGCCCAGCTCTCCGCCCCCGCTTGTTTCTGATCCAGCCCTATGGTGCTCCTCACGCCTCCGGCTTGGGCTGCTGACTCAGTCATCGGGATTGATGTCCAGGGCCACCTGTGGCTGCACATGGTCCATCTCGTCCGTGTTAAGCTTCTCTCTCTGGCCCCGGTGGCTCTCCCATTTCAGCCTCGGCCTCCATCTCCCTTTGGCTCTAGACTTGGTTAAGCTTATTTGTGCAACGATCTCAGTATCTGACTCTCAAGTTTGCCAATGGCCTTCACATAAATCGGCAAAGTGGGTAGAGTGGGCCTGGCCCTTTCCTACTTGGGCCTTTTAAACTCTTAGTTCTAGACCAATCCCTCTTCTAGTCCAGTGATGGTGAACTTTTAGAAATGAGCTCTTAACCTGCAACCCAAAACCCACTGATTTATCACAAAGTGACAATACTTCAATGGAACTTGAATACTGAGGTTTTAGTTTAGGGACAGCAACTCATATATTAACATCTTTTTCTGGAAAGAAAATAACATGTGTGCCATAGGTTCGCTACCACTGCTTTAGACTCTGTTGGCCTCCTGAGTGGGGCTTTCTGTCTCCCAGCTGAGGCCAGCAGGCCCTGGTCTGTCTCTGGCCTGCTTGTCTTCAGGAGACAGCTTGGTTCTGCGCAGGAGCCTGGGGTAGGGGGAGATACAGAGGCCTACCGAGGTAGAGGCAGCTGGGAGAGTCCTCTTGCCAAGTCTGCAGGGCACATTAGGGCTGCCCATGGAACAGGGTCTTTCTTAAGAGGGAGGGAACTGGACTGTGTAACCAAATCATAAGCAGAAAAGAATTAGAACTTTCTTCTGGGGTTTGTGAATGCTTTCTTCAGTGTGATTTCTTAGATCACTATCTTGAGTTTCTCAAATACTCCTCCTTGAGGGCTTCTGTCTCATTGTGTGTACATCCCTATGACTTCTCTCTCCCAGTCTCTGGACTAAATTTTATTTTTTCAAGCTTTTTGAGGTCTTTGGATGACCATTAATCGCCTCATTTCACAGGGGAAAAATGGAGACTTAGAGAGATGTGCTCATTTCCTTATAGCTTCATAGCCAGTAAGTAATGTTATGGTTGGAAGTCAATCAGATCCACTTGACCCCAAACCTAAGCTCATCCCATTACATTCTCATATAATTATGCATATGTGCACATATCTGTATGGTTTGTATAACCAAGTGTGTGTGGTATCTCCAGGAGTCCTTATAGGATTGTTTGCTGGTTGATCTTTCCCTTCCCTTCCCTTCCCTTCCCTTCCCTTCCCTTCCCTTCCCTTCCCTTCCCTTCCCTTCCCTTCTCCTCTTTTCTTTCCTTTCTCTTTCTCCTCTCTCTCTCTTTCTCTCGTCCATCTTCATCTCTATCTCCATCTCCATCTCCATCTCCATCTCCATCTCCATCTCCATCTCCATCTCCATCTCTCTCATAAGGCAGTGGGCCCTCTTTCCTCATGGTGTTTTCTTTCCAAGCCTGGGAGGATTAGAAATGCTGGCCTTTGGCTTCAGCATTCCTGGCCCTGTCTGGTGAAGAGGAAAGGGGCTTCATAACGTTTACCTGGCACAGTAGCAGTCATGGCACCAACATGGCTTCTGTGTGGAAATATAAAAATGTCTTTGAAAAGTAAATTGGCCAAAGCAGAAGAGTTCGGGAACCTGTGTTGTAGACCGGATTTGGCCTTTTATCAATTGTAGGATCTGGGCAAGTCTTCAGACTTGACTCTCCTTGACTAGACAATGGGGGTAACAATGCTGTCAACCTCCTGGGGGTTAGATTAGGAGACATAATGTGCATGAACACACTCGATTAGCAAAGGGTCAAGTCATTCATAAATGTCAGTGTGTGTGCACACACATGACTGTTTGGATACCCCCGCCCCAGCTTTCCGATGGGATATCTTGAGAACAGCTTGCTCTCCCTCCTCCTCTTCCCAGAAGGGACCTTTCTCACGGACATGTCTCACGGTGGCGGAAGAACGACTTGGCAGCCTCCCTCCCTTCTATCAAAGGGACACGAGGAATCAGCACGCATCCAGTTAGTCACGCAGCACTTAACAATGAATGTGAGGATGCTTCTACTCTAAGCGGCTCAGGAATGGGTGAGGCTTCTTAAGTGAGCTAATGCTGGGTTATTGTTTTATAAGGGGCAGAGTCAGAGACGAGCTAAGAGGAAAAGTAGCCCTTCCTCTCCTGAGAACCATACTGTGGGCGCTGGGAAAAAACAAAAAGCAAAATAAAAAAAACCCGCTAGTGCTCATCATGGATGTTGACACACCTGCTTCTAGGCTAAGGACATTGGACATTGCTGTCCAGTGAGAGCCTGAAGGGGTTCAGAGGGGTTACCCCTGTGCTCCCGAACTAGCTGCCAAGGGTCAAACGCTAGGATACAGACAAGGGGCTCTCTCTGGGGAAGGGAGTATAGAGTCATTGGTCTCAGCGATTAAAGAGACTTTAGCAAAGGGATAAATGATCAGAGATGGGGAAGGACTAGAACCCTGTCTCAAGGCTGATGTCTGGTGGGGCATCTTTGTTGGTATTCAGAAATTAACAAATCAGCTTCCTTCCAGGGTTGTTTGATGTTGAGATCTACTTGACCCTTGGGAGATATGAACCAATATGTGTATTTTTTATAAATAAAGATGAAGGTAAAACAGGGTCACTCATTCATGCGTGCGTGAATGTATTTGTTCCATACATTTGTTTTAGTATTTTGTCTATTCCAGGTCGGCTGGAAGATGCCCGTCTCTACGGGGCACGCTGCTTACCTTTCAGGCTCACTGGCTGCATGCTAAGACAGGAAAATAAACAAGCCTTAGAAATATGATGAAAAAAGCTCATTTGTAATGACATAATTGGACAGAATGGAGCTTCTCCAGCTCTTTCTGCTTAGGGATTTCAGTACATCTAAGGGTGTCATCATTTCACAGAGGGAGCAATTGTGTGCGGAGGGTTTCATCCTAACTGGTGCAGAGCAGGCATCAGGACTGCTCATCCTTTGCCAGAGGAACAGGTCAGCAGGACTGGCCTGTGGGCTTGTGTCTGAGCCTAATCCTGAGCCTTGCCTTTGGCTTTTACCGCCCTCTTCGAGGATCCTCTCAGCTTCTGCAGTGAATGGGGTGGGCTGAGACGTGGGGTAGGAGTGTCCCTTGCACCCTCGGCCTGTCCTGATTCATCAAAGGGGGATTCGCTGGTTGCTAGAAAGAGTGGGGGTGGAGGAGGAAGGGAGAGAAGGCTGCATAGGCTGGGAAAGATCCAGAACTCTCATTAACGTCTGACACCTCCAATAAAAAGCTGCATATTCCCCAAAAGGGATTTTTGAAAATCTTAAACTCTTTGAACCATGGTGTTTAACTGCCATTCCTCCAATGGACTTAACAAGAAACCCAACCCCTTGGCTTTCTCACGGGGCTCAGCCTGGGGCAACTCCCCTGCTCCAAGCATCTGAGGTCCTTGTGTGGGGACTCTTGAGGCTTCTGTGGCTGGGCATGAAAGGGAGGCCTTGGTCCTCACCATGAAGGCGAGGTGTCCTCGGGGGCTGTGATGCAGTGGAGTCTGAGGCTTGACTGAGTCGTGGGCACGTAGGGGAAGGGGACAGCGGACAGAGGGGAAGCTGCGAGGCAGATGGAGCTGAGAGATGTGGTTATACCCAAGCACTTCGGTTTCTAAACCGGCTCTTTCTTTTCTTTCCTCTTTTTCTTTTTCTTCTTCCTTCATCTGGATGAACAAATAGTACATATACATATGCTAAAATAGGAATATGGCAAAAAAGTCCCTCTTTACTGCGGGCCACCTGCCTCTCAATCTGTAGGCAACCACCATCACAGCATTTGTGTATTATTATTATTATTTTTCATTTTGTATTATTTAAAAGTTTTCTGACTGGGGGTGGAGCTCATGGGTATAGCAATTGTTTAGCAAGTACAAGGATCTTGGTTTGACCCTTGGCACTTAAAAACAATTCCATGCACTCTCTATCTCTATCTCTCCCTCCTCATAAACAAGAATATATTATATACACTATTCCATTTGATTTGCCCTTAAAAATACATTTTAGGCATTTTCATGTAATCTACTTAATTTATACATATATATTTTATTTATATACACATATAAATCTACTTTATTTTTTGCCTGGTATAATATAATAAGGGTAACTTAATTTATCTCCCTCATTTCCTCATGGAAGGCACTTAGGTTGTTTTCAGTCTTTGTTATTACAAAGCTGCAGTGGTCAGTCTTGAAAGGACCCATCTGGGCAATTTCTAGAAGAGGGGTTGCTGCCACAGAGATAAGTACATAAATTTGATAGACATTGCTTAGGTTCTTTTCTTTTCTTTTCTTTTCTTGGGGATTGAACTCACAACCTCATGCTTGCCAGGCAGGTGCTTATGCTGCTGAGTTAGATCCCCGGCCAGCTTAGGTTGTTTCTAACTCAGCAAGATTGTATCAGTAGTGGTGGGAGAGGTGGTCAGCCCTGTATCTGTACTCTTTCTGTCCTCCTCCTGCCCCATGCATGAATGAGATAAAATGACATGCATGAACCCCCAGGGAGTGATTGAAGATCATTTCTGCTGGGCTTCAAAATGCATGAAGAGAGAGGTTTGTTTGTTTGTTTTATTTTCTGAATGATTCATCCTAGTGATGCTTGTTGGGGAAGAACACTCCCCTCATCTAAGCAAAAGTGCAAGGCAGAGCGCTCAGTGTGGGCCAGGAAGCGTCACCTGAGTCCTCACAGGGCAGAGACCCTGGGCTGGTCCCAGGGAACTCCTTGGGTTCCCCAGTTTTACTCCTGAAACCCCAAGGATGCTGATCATTGCATTATAGTTTTGATTTTTTTATGTGTGGCTACCATAATGTCTCATGTTTTCTTCAAAATAGTTGACTATACCTTAACACACAATAATATCACACATAACAAAATAGTATAAAACCAATCAAAAGAACGAAAGCATTACAGGACTTCAAAACCAGGTAACAGGAAATGAACAATGGCTACTATCACATCTCATTTTCCTCAAAAAGTTGTCCATAAAATTAAAAGAAATTTTTAAAAAGTTGGCCATAGCATCACACATAATAAAATCAAATAAAATGCAACAATAGAATCAATCAAAACAGAAGAACAAAAGCATGATAGGACTTCAAAACAAGATGATAGGAAATCAGCAATGGCTACTGTAATGTCTTATTTTCTTCAGAATAGCTGTTCATACCATCACACATAATAAAATCAAACAAAGCAAAACAGAATAAAATCAATTAAACAAATGAATGAAAGCATTGCAAGATTTCAAAGCAATATAATAGGAAACTACGATTACCATAATACACCCCATTATGTCCAAAATAGTGCCCATACCATCAGACAAAGTAATATCTAACAAAACAAGACAGAACAAAGCCAAACCTAACAAAATTGTGAAACCAATACAAGAGTTCAAGACAAGACAATAAGAAATTAACAGTAGTTATCACCCTTCCCTCACAGGTGTTTCCTCCCCTTCCACTCTTACAATAACTATTTTGCTTTTGGTTTTTTTTTTTTTTTTTTGTCTTTTTCCTTTCTATCGGTACCGGGGATTGAACTCACGACTGCCTGCTCGCAAGGCAGGCGCTTATGCTGCAGAGCTAAATCTCCAGTCCCCACTATTTTGCTTTTGTATCCCATTAACTCCTTCTGTTTCTTATGCTAGGGTTCACATGCATGAGTTCAAACTGTTTCACCCATGAACATAATCTCCAGTTGCATCCATTTACCTACAAAAGCCTCAAGATTATTCTCCTTTATAGCTGGGTAACTTTCCATTGCATGAAAATATCTTTCTTATCCATTGTGTGGTTGATGGGCAAGTCACCCTTGCTTTTTTCCTGGTTTCTTGTCACATGGAACAATTGTTTTCTCTCCTTTGATTTTCAGTCTATGAATTTCCTTTCCAGTTAAATGTGTTTCTTGTATACAGTATATCGATGGATCTTGTTTCTTGATTCCCTTTCCTTGTGTTTCTTTTTATTGCTGACCTGAGACCCTCTGCTGCTGTTCCTGGAACCATGGTCATCTTCATCTCTCTCTAGAACATTCTTTGGCACTCTCTGGAGGGTTGGTTTGGTGGTCATGAATTCCTTCAGTTGTTCTTTATGATGAAAGTATCTTATTTTTCCATCAATTTTGAAAGATAGTTTTTCAGGGTATATCAATTTGGGTTGGAAGTTGTTTTCTTTCAGGATTTGAAACACCTCCAAACTCTTCTTGACTTAATGGTTTGTATTGATGTCTGCTGTGATTCTGATTGGTTTTCCTTTGTAGGTGATCTGTCTCTTTTCTCTAATAGCTTTCAATATTCTGTTCTTGTGCTGACTTTCTGGGATCTTGATTATTATGTGTCTGGGTGTAGATATACTTTGGTGATGGCTAGTTGGGTTTCTATATGCCCACTTATCTGTGTGTCAGATCCATTTCCCATGTTTGGTAAATTTTCTGCTACTACTTCTGTAAATAACCTTTTAATTTCATTTGTGTTGACCCCTGCTTCTTCACTAATACCTGTCACTCTTAAATTATGCTTCTTTGTATCATCTGGAAGCTGTTGAATTGTTATTTCCTGATATCTTGTTATTTTTAATAGATCTTTCCTTTCACGATTACTCCTATCTTTAAGGTTTGAATGTCTATCTTTAGTCTTTTTCAAGCAGTTTTGCCAGCTTTCGATCAGCTTTTCAATATTTCCTGGATCTCTCTTTGAATCTGTTTCATGCATTGTAATTCCTTTCTATATTCATTCAAGGTTTCTATCATTTTCCTATGCTCCTCTTTTTTTTATCTATGTCTTCTTTAGATATACAGAGTAATTCTTTCAGTATGTTTGTGATTTCTTCTTTTACCTGAGACATTTCTGGTCTCCTGAAGTTGTTTCCTTACTTCAGTTGCTGTCCTCTCAGGATTTCAGGTGTGTGACTTCCGTTTTCTTCCATGACCGTATCTCCCAGACTTATTGTGTGTGGACTAGTGGTCTGAAATTGCCTTTTGCGCCTTCATCTTGACATTCTCCTGGCTTCCTCCCAACAAGCCGGTTGTGGGGCCCCAGGCACTTCCCAGGTTGGTTGCCTCTCCATGGTGTAGGCGAATGGGACAGGCACCTGGGTTCCTTTGACCCCAGATTTACAGGGAGGTAGCAGGGTGTGGAGCAGGCTTCCCCAGGCCTGTGCAGCTACACTGGGCTTTCCCGATGATCACAGGTACGTGGAGGTGGGGCCGCTTCTCTCAGCCTGTGTGTCTACACTGGGACTCCCATGCTGGTGGCAGATACACAGGGGCTGTGTTTGTCTGATTCTGCTAGTGAGTGAGGCTGCCTAAGGGAACCAAGGGCCTCCAATGGTGACCTACAGGTGCACAGGGCTCACCTGGCTATATGTCTCTGCTCCTGCTCTCAGGAAGGAGCCTTCCGGTGGCAGTGCCTGGCAGGCGAAGGTGGAGCTCGATAGTTTTAATTTTTCAAAGCCTTTTGCAGCCACAGTTTCATTCCATTTTAGCTCCGAGGCACTGCTGGTTACAGACTCAGAGAGAGTACATGAGGAATTAGGAATCTAGAAGTCTGGGAGGAAGAGTGCAAGTCTGAGGCCAGCCTGGGCAACTTAGCAGACCATATATCACTCAAGGGATAAAAAG